TATATATATATATATATATATATCTCAATCTGGGCCAGTCTTTGATTGGCAGATTGTTGTTGTTCATCAACATGCCGCTTTAAATTTGTGAGGGCAGAGAGAGCTCAGCAAGCAATCAGGGGTCGATCGTTTGTTTTTATGGTTAAGCGCGCGGCAGACTCTCTCTTAGCGAGGATGGGGGAGTTTCATTGCTGCACATCATTCTCACTGCATGCTCAGACTGTCAGCTGCATTTTCAAGTCGGGGGCACAATAATTACGCCATACAGGAAATCCCAAACTCTTCCACTCTGCTGTGGAGCTCCTAGCTTCTAGCAGAGGACCCGCTTTGCATTCTAACACACAATCTTACAAAACATTAAAACCTTTAAAAAAATAAGTTTTCTTACTTTTATTTGCACTTTAGAACTGATTATATTTGTTTAGAAAAAGGCTCCTACTAACACATTTTTAAACGTTATTTACCCCCAGTTAATAAGTACCTTTCAACAAACAGAGAATGGTAAGAACAGAGCAAAATAAATCAAAACTTCCAAGTGTTTATGTAAGGAAAATGCTTCCATTTGTGTCCATGTTTTGTCTGGAGTGACTTTAAAGCTCAAAAGTCAGACTCAGAGAAATAAGGAAGAAGGTAAACCAGGCGCCCTGCCAGCTAAGGATGGGGTTGATCATTTTTTTCATAGACAGGAGAAGAGTTTTAAATTTCCAGAGTTTATTTCAATGTGATGTTTTAATACAAGTAATCCAAGTTTCTTTATAATGATTGAAAATAATAATTATAATATAAAAGGACACTTAGATAAAAGCGTACATCAGAGAACCAATCAGGTAAGTTTCCACAATGTTCTTTAGCCTGTTTATCTCTGGTGTTTAATGTGAGCTCAGGCTGCAGTAAAGCAGCGATCTGGATCACATGACCTGTTTAGTGACAGATCTGAACCTCTCAAACTACATAGTGGAGTTTTTGGAAGCCTGCACAGAGCATCAATATGCAGCGATATTGAACTAAACAAAATTATTTATTGTGTCCTAAATTGAGCTGATACTTGGGTCAAAATGTGCAAAGTTTTTTTTTTTTTTAATAAAAGGAAAAGGGACGTGGTTTGATTCTACATATTAAATTGAGCAATGAATATTTTTTTCCTCTTGCAGGTCGTTTATCATTCTTCTGGCTATCTGGATCTTTGCAGAGATGGTGTGATTAACTTCGGAGATCCTGTGGATGTTTGCATTCCTACCGGAAACTTCGGGAACGCCATGTCAGCTTTGTACGCCAAGCAAATGGGCATCCCAATAAGAAAAGTCATCTGTGCGTCCAACCACAACAGAGTTGTTGCCGACTTCATCAGCACAGGTGGGTATGATCTCCAGGACCGCTCCCTGCTTCTCTCCCACTCCCCTGCTATAGACATCCTGAAGTCCTCCAACCTGGAGAGGTTTGTCCATCACATCTCAGACGGAAACAGCTGCCTGGTCAAGGACTTATTCACACGCTTGGACATGCAGAAATGCTTCCAGCTTCCTGATCATCTTCTTGGCAAGATGCAGGAGCAAGTGCAGGCTGGCTGGTGTTCTGAGGACGATTGCTTGGCCGCCATCCAGAGCGTCCATGGACAGACGGGATACATCATGGATACGCATACTGCTGTGGCAAAGGTTGTGGCCGATCGGCTTCAGGATGGCTCATGCCCCACAGTGCTCTGCTCCACTGCCCACTACGGGAAATTTGCTCCCGCAGTGTTCAAAGCTCTGCAGATCCAGAATATTCCTGAGGATCCTGTGGAGCAGCTGAAGGAGCTGGAAGCGGCTGCGTCTAAACCAGAAGCACACAGAGAAATGATGAAATGCCTGAAGGAGAGAGGCGGCAGGGGGCACAGAGTTTGTGCGGCTGATTACAGTGTGCTGGTAGAGGAGGTAGAGGGCGTAATACAGGACTCTTTCTTAAAAGTCACATAGAAAAAACAGTCATTTGAATTAGAATTCACAAAGAAAGTGCTTTAGCTTCGTCATGTCAATGAAATATATACTCCTGCTGTATTTTAATAAAGTAGGATGTCATCGAAAAGAAAGGATCATTTATTGAATAATTTAAAACAAAATAAATCTATTTTCTGGCCAGAGAGATGCAGGGATGTTCCTTTTTTCTAATTCGAAATCATCTATAAAAAGTATTTGTTGCAAGAAAAGATTTCTTGGAATCAAACCAAGATTTATCCACCTTTTATCCAGATTTTTGACATGTCATGTCTGCAGTAGGCGGTGGCCTCCCTAAGTTCAGAGTAAAGCTTCTGGGATTTATCATTTACTGAAATGATGTTAAACTGATTATGACACCGGAGGATACAAGTACAATAGTTGCTAAAACAACAACCCAGTAAGAGCAGTAATTAATTCAAAGATGAACAAAAAATTAAGAATAATAAATATATATATTAAATTTGTCTTTAAATATGCAGATATATCCAGAACTCCTATTCGGTTAAATGTGCTTTATTATATGTGACATATTTCATTGTTTTTGGCAGAAGTAGAGTTTATTTAGAAGAGCTGAACTCCTTGAATTGACCTGAATTTTAGACATATTTGTAAAAATCTTTTCGCCTTAAATCAGTGGGATTACATTCTTTTAGGAACACTTAGCTGTGGCCGTGTTTCTGCTGACCGGCCCAAACTATAAACCTCTAATCAAAGTGAATGCCTTAGAATGGTTGGGAGTAAATAAAGGAACCAATAATGTTCAAGTCAGCTTTACATCAAAAACTCCCAAACAACCAGTTTAACCACTTTAACAGTGAGGTAGTTTAACATCTATGGATTGAGAGGGTGCAGGCATGAAAAGTGCACTGCAAAAATGATAATTAGATAATATGCACTTGAAATAAGACAATGCAATTATTTTTGTGTAATTTCCATATTTCTTATTTTAAATTTGAAATATTTTCCATTGAAAATGTCTCACCTCCTCGTTTCAAGAACAAATATACTTATTTTATAAAAAAATAACTTTTTCCAGTGGTAATATATTACTCAATTGCACCCCTTCACACAAAAGAGCCTACTAGAATGTTCTAGTCCCATTGAATGAATTTAAGGCCATGTTAAAATGTCATGTAATTCAAAAATGTAACTGCCCTATGTGACCTGTCTTTTCCTCTATGTGAGATTTTGTCTAGTTGTATTTCTGTTTGTATTTTAACTGGTGTGCCGTCTTGGCCAGGTCTCCCTCAAAAAAGAGATTTCAATCTCAAGGGACTTCCTGGTTAAATAAAGGTTAAATAAAAAAAAAAAAGAAAAAAAAGAGCCTACTAGAAAATGGTACATTTCATGTTAAAATATGAAAAAGAAACTTAAGTTTCACTTAATCATAGTGAAGTCCAACAAAAAATGTTTCAGTACAAATGGATAAACCAGGCTAAAAATTAAACATCTGAAATGCTCCTGCTGAAAATATGTGCCTTAACCATTTTGAATAAGCCCATTTTAATCAAATTAAAAGAACTCTAATACTTTGACAGCGTTATGCAAAAAGCTTGAACTGAACGTAAGACCTTTGTCATCAAATTTCAATGTGTAAAGGGACTTCAGTCTAAATATCTATTGTGGTGTATGTAAATATTTGAAAATGCAGGTCTAGTCCTGCATAGATGATAGTAATTGAACATTTAATTTAACTTCTGGGCTTAATTCTTGTTATTAAACTTCATTGAAATAATTTGTTGTTAAATAATGTGGCCATAGACAAAAAAAAAGCTTAAACAATTTTTTAAAACACCCACATTTCAAATAACAACTATGACCGTGACAAGTGAACCTCTGACCTTAGCTATGCATTTAGGGCCACAGGTGAGTTTAATTTGTTGAACTATTTATCTTTATTGGTACTTGTGTTCGTCATCTTTTCAAAAGCAATAAGAGCATCAACAAGAATAATTAAGCAATTCCTGGAATTCTGAATTTCTTTTTCGACTCACATGGGCAGCGTCTTATAATCCCAGCAAATCTTGCACAAAAACATGCTGTAGCAAGAGATGTGATGTAACAAGCGATTTCCTTGTTGCCATATTTTATGGGTCTTTTATTGAGTCTTTACAGCCTATCATTACCTTAAAAACATTCCTGGAAAATTCCAATGTGTTGTATAGGTTCTGAGCTTAGGAGGAATTGAGCCTAAACAAGCTGTTGCTTAGAATTTCTAGAAAGCTATTGCCTATATGTGGCGAGGTCATTGCAGCCGTCTTTTCCAGAAATTTGATTAGAGTCCTGCTCTTAGTTTTTTTTTGAGGAAAAACGTAAAAGTGTAAACGTATGTTGCAACCTGCTTGCATTTCCTCAGAAACCATTGCTTTAAGTAGGAAAAAAACAGGTACTGGTACCCCCCTTAATACCATCCAAATATATAACAATAACGTGGATAATATTTTTACACAGATCTATAGATCTGACTAAAAGGAACAAGAAAAACAAGTTATAAGTCAAATCTATTTGAGCTAAATTCAAAGTATCATGAAGCCACTTTGACTCACTTCAAGCCTCATGATTTTAAAATGCAAATATAACATTAAAAAGATAAGGGTATGAAATGAAATATAAAATATATCAATAACCTCATAAAGGTTTCCTATTGCATGCAAAAGTATTCACAAAAAAAATATATATATATGTAGCTCTCCAGTCTCCCTTATGACTCTCCCCTCTATGATCACAGTATGCAATTAAGTAGTAAAAAGAGCTCTGCTACAGGTGATACTCTAATTAAGTCACGAGTTGATGAATTCAAAACATCTTTGCAACTTCAGGGATGCCAAATTGTATCTGTTGTTTGTTTTCTGCTTTGTTTGCTACTGTTTCTTGAAACATTGTGTGTCTCTTTTTGTATGTTTGAGGACAGAAATGAACTGATCCCATGTTCACCATTCAAAGAGAAAAGGCTGAATAGAAGGTATAATATTAAATGCAAATGGTGAACCATATAATCTATTGCACTATGCAGTAAGATTCAAAATTCAGCGTGCTGACATCATCTCCAGGAAATGTCCCTGAATTTCAGTAGAAAATTCAGGCTTGGGTTATTCCAGTCTAATGCAACATAAGAAGCAGAGATACAGGAGTAATTTACCTATTACATGTTGTCCACATAAAATATTTGTACAAATCGGGCTTTATTCGAACAGAACTTTACATGATGAGTTCTAGTTCTGTGTTACACTCCACACTATTGCATATCAATCACTGTACTATATTTCTTTCCTTATTGTAATCTTTCTCAAAATCTGTAAAATTATGTGAAAGCATATGCGCCATTTTTGGTGGAAATTTTTTTTTTTTTCAAGATTTAAATTTATAACAAATGAAACCCGTTGCTTTGATGCAAAATGCTTGCCATACTGTACATTCATGCGGCTGATGAGTGATGAAAAGTAGAGGAGAATTATCTCGGCATTGATGTTTACAGCTCCCGAAGGACTCAAATGAACCTGTGCAGAGTTAAATAATAACAGCAGCCCTGTAAACAGTCCTCTACTCTACAAGGAAACAAATGTTGGACTTTGCAAGATTCTGATTCTACAAACCCAGGGTAGCCCTTTGGGGGCCCTGAGAACAAATGCTGTGCGGTGCCATCCTCCACCCCTATTGCAAATGAATGAAAATGCAGAATTTTTCAACTTGTTTCTCTTTATTTTCAAGATATCATCTCAATATTAATGTTTTGTCAACAGATGCAATAAATAGGAAAAATTTCAAATTTAAACCAACATTGGTGGATATACTTTTAATATATCATGGATGAAAATTAACAAAACAGAGTTTTAGAGGAATTACAATAAGGAAATAAGTATTAATTAATAATTTAACTGAGATGTTGAGCATTCTTCGCCCCATCAGGGATCTCCGGTCTGCTGATGAAATGGTTCTGGATGTCCCTAAGTCTCGGTATAAACAGTGGGCCGATCGTTCTTTTGTGGTTACTGCTCTTAAACTGTGGAACAACCGGCCCCTCGGTCTGCAGGTTCTCACTGATCTGCACCTTTTTATGTCCAGATTAAAGACTCTTTTAAAAAAAACAAAAATGGCTTTTAATACTTAGGACACATTGTTTTATTATTATGACTTGTTTTTTTTTGCAATGTTTTTAATCTTTCTGTGAATTACTTTGGTCCTCCTGGTGTTGTAAATTTTTATTTGATTTGATGTGAAGTACAGTAAATAAACTGAAACATTGGGGAATGTAATACAGAACTAGAACTGATTATATAAAGTCCTGTTTGAATAAAGCTCTATTCACACAGGATAAACATTTAAAGTGGACCCCATGTAACAAATAAAGCACTCCTCTATGTCTGCTTTGTATGTGTTGGATTGCTTTGGAATAATACAAGCCTGAATTATTTTTAAAGATTCTGGGACATTTCCTGGAGATGATGTCAACATGCTGCATATTCAATTATAAACCACAAGGCTTTAAATCCCATATTTCAGTGGAAAGGGGGCTAATGTTGGTAAAAGAGCAGCAGCCTGCAATGCAGGAAGCCTGTACAGGGAGCCAACAGGATATAAGGAGATTCAGCATCCTTTAAAAGTATTAGAAAAACCTAGTATGGATAAATCGTCTTTACATGCGGTCTGTTTTAGTTGTTTTTCCTGATTTAAAACACAAGGCGTCATTGTTACTTACTGCTCCTTTAACAAGCTAAACAGTGTTTAAACATGCTACATACTGTACATAACATGACATACAGACGGATGGACGGACAGACACAGATTTCTGAAAGACATAGAAGATAATCCAGGAAATTTAAACATAATGTGCACTAAAGGCTGCCATAACGAATCAGCTCGGCAAAATACGAGGAAGATGCAAAGAAGCAGGAGGAAACTAAGCCTTTAGTTTTTCTGTCTTGTTGAAGAAATTTGTTAGTTAATTGAAGTCAAGTATTTTATCAGTTGCCAGTTCACAAAACGTCATCTCAAGGCATCTTACAGAGACAATTCATTCAGCCAGATGGTACATTTTCTTACACACTTATCCCAAGTGGGGTCGCAAGGGGTGCTGGTGCCTATCTCCCTCTGTCTACAGGCAAGAGGCAGGGTACACCCTGGACACCATCGCAGGGCAACACAGAGACAAACAACCACCTAAGGGGACTTTAGAGAAGCCAATTAACCTAACAGTGATGTTTTTGGACTGTGGGAGGAAGCCAGAGTACCCAGTGAAAACCCATGCATGCTCAGGGAGAACATGCAAACTCCATGCAGAAAGACCCCAGGCCGGGAATCAAACCCAGAACCTTCTTGCTGCAAGGCACTGAGCTGCCCATTAGGCAAACCAATTGCATGAATTAAGTTATGGACTTTTCAGGACACTCTTTCTGGGTGAGATTATAGCGAGAATAGAAACTTGTCTGCATTTTGTTTTTGACTCTACAGCAGTTCATCACTCCGAGCACACATGCAGCCGCGATAGAGAGGGAAAAACTCCCCTTTAACAGGAAGAAACCTCCCACAGAACCCGAGTGGAAGTGGCCTTTGACCGAGGCTGACTGGGGGTTCAAAGAAAGAGAAGCAGACATGAAAAAGGAACATAGAAGCGCTGATCCATGAATATTTTCAATGTTGGAAAAGGTATCGGTGTAATACAGTCCATTGCAAAAGTATTCAGTCCCCTTGAACTTTTTGACCTTTTGCTCCATTTCAGGCTTCAAACATAAAAATATAAAATATAACTTTTTTGTGAAGTGAGACACAATCATGGAGTGGAATGGAATTTATTGGATATTTCAATCTTTTTTTAACAACTAAAAAACTGAAAAGGGGGGCCTGCAAAATTAATCAGCCCCTTTCCTTTCAGATCAGTAAACTCTCTCCAGAAGTTCAGCTATAATCTCTGAATGGTCCAATGTTGACCTAAATGATTGGTGATGATAAATAGAATCCACCTGTGCGCAATCAAGTCTCTGTAAATGCACCTCTTATAGTCTCAGAGGAACACAGCAGAAAGGTCTAAGATACTTTTGTGGTGAAGTTTAAAGCCAGATTAGGATAAAAAAAGTAGTTTCCCAAGCTTTAAACATCCCAAGGAGCACTGTGTAAGTGATAATATTAAAATGGATAGATAATAAAATCAGACCACTGAAAATCTAGGAAGACCCGACTGTCCCTCTAAATTGTCAGACTGATCAGAAATGCAGCCAGGAGGCCCATGATCCCTCTGGATGAACTAGATCTACAGTTAAGAGGGGAGACTGTCCATATGACTACAATCAGTTGTAAACTGGATAAATCTGGCCTTTATTTAAGAAAGCCATTTCTTAAAGATGTCCATACATGTCTTGTTTAAAGTTTGCCACAAGCCACCTTGGAGACAAACAGAACATGTGAAAGAAGGTTCTCTGGTCAGATCAAACCAAAATCTAACTTTCTGGCACAAGGCAAAACTTTATGTTTGGTGTAAAAGCAACACAGCTCATTACCCTGAACACATCATCCTCACTGTCAAACATGGTGGTGGCAGCATCATGGTTTGGGCCTGCTTTTATTCAGCACAGACAGTGAAGATAGGAGCCAAATACAGGAGCATTCTGGAAGAAAACATGTTGGAGTCTGTAAAAGACCTCAGACTGGGATGGAGATTCATCTTCCAACAAGATAATCATCCAAAGTCCAAGTCCAGACTTGCATCTACTCAAAAATCTGTGGAAAGAACTGTTTTTTTCACAAATGCTCTACATGCAACCTCACCAAGTTCCAGTTTCAGTCTCTTGATGTGGAAAACTGATAGAGACGTACAGCCCGACCGACATGCAGCTGCAATCTCAGCAACAGTTGGGTCTACAAAGTATTAACTAAAGGCCGCTGAATGATTTTGCACACCCAATTTTTCTGTTTTTATTTGTTGAAAAAGTTTAAAATGTCCAAAACTTTTCCTTCCACTCCATGATTTTCTCCCACTTGTTGATTCTTCACAAATAACTAGCATTTTATATTTTTATGTTTGAAGCCTGAAATGTGTCAAAAGGTTAAAAAAAGGGGGCCGAACGCCTTTGCAGGGCACTGTCCCTCCACATGTGTCTCTGTCTATGGGGAAGACAAGCTCTGAGCCAGTTTTCATATCAAAGTCATTAAAGAGAGCACATAAAGTTAGTCACAGTAAAGTAAGTCTGTAATTAAATCTAGCAGAGAAACAGGACTACTGCGATGGCCAAACCTATGGCCACACCTTAAAAGTCTTCACCATACATGCCCCTTCACCTTTATTTATTTATAAGTAGACATGTACTTTAGTTAGCAATAAAATTTTATTGTTAGTTACGAATGTTGTATTTGTAAGCATGCACATTTAGTTCACTGTACTTGTACCCACTTATTCATATTTTCCTTGTGTTTTTTAATCACTAATCTTTGTTTTCTACCTCCCATGGTTCCTAGGAGTTAAACCAGACAAATGGTGGCAGTAAGGGCTCCGATCAGCTAAATTCAGGGAGGGGAAAGTGGACTGTTCCATCTACTGCTGCTAGAAAGGGGGATTTACATTTTTCCTTATTTTACTTTTTTGCATTTTAATTAGGATTTATAGATGTAGATTAGTTTATTGCCAAACCTGTCTGTACTGATTGATTAGTTTTGATTACCTCTATTGTGTTATACATGTAGGTCTAATCAGCCAGTGTATATATACCCTGTTGTGTCATTTCTTTGTTAGGTCAGTTATGTTTGCTTTAGCAGTCAGTTAGTTCGGGTTCAGTTTGCTTGAGTTAAATTTTGTTTTTCTATTTTTACTTCTTTTATGACTCCGGAAAATATGTTGCTTTTAAGTTTGGCCTTTTGGGTTAAAAACAACACCCAACCTTTGAATGAATCCCTGTGACTCTTCATGCTTCTTACATTGGTCCTTCACTACTGGACTGCAAAACAGGCCCAACTCAATCGTCTGTAATGAAAAGTGTTGATGGCAGCTGCCTGCCTGATAGTTCTCTCCAGAATGGTGTCATCGCCAGAGAGGAACAGAACAAAAGAAACTACTATGACAAGACAAAGCAGAGAGAATAAACAACTTAGGTGTTAAACTAACAAATACTGCAGAATAAGAGAATAGAGATGGAATGAAGCAGAATAATGAAAAGTAGTCTCCATGTCCTCCAGCAGTCTAACGTTACAGCAGCATAACTATAGAGATGCTCAGGATATCACAAACCATTCTTAACTATGAACTTTTTCAAAAAGGACAGTTTTAAGCCTAGCCTTACAAGTAGACAGGGTGTCTGCCTCACGTACTAAAACTGGGAGTTGGTTTCACAGGAGAGGAGACTGATAAAGACTAAATTTCCTTTTTAACTTTTTAACATTTGGCCTCAAGTTTATATGTGATTTCGCAAGCTTTAATAAACGTGAAAAATCCACATCCAAACTTGAGGCCAGATGTTAAAAAGGTAAAAATGAAATGTATACCTGTAGGACAAATTATCCTGGATTTACAGCGTCTTCCAGTAACTGATTCTCTACTGTGTCACATGCCCCAGTTTTACACGTTTATATTGCTTTAATCAGAGAGATGATTGACTCACTGTTCAGCAATTTAGCGATTTGCACAGCCCAGAATCCTTTTAACGACAGAACAAACAAGAAACTTTAAATTATATTAAAGCGACCAAATCCACTTTAACTTATGGAAGTAAAGTTCGGGTAAGTCTTCAAAAAAACAAGCAAACAAATTCAAATAAAACGAAATAGGTTTTCTGTCTAGAAGGAGTCTAGATTTATTCTTCGATATATAATGAAAATAGGGGCAAAGGTCAGATTAGATTAAATGCCTCAACATGTACAGTTCAGAGTAATAAAAAATGGTTTGAACTGATAAGACAGCTTCTAAGGTTTGACATGGCAAACAGGGTGGAGAAATTCACACCAATATTTGTTGGGAAATTATGTTTCCCAAGGATATTAGCAGATATCAGAATTTGGAGGGTGGTGTGAAGCATAGGCATAAACAACTTCCTTTAAAGTAACACAATCGGTTGCTTAAACATTTGTTTCCTCCTTAATTTCTGTTATCTTGTTTGTTGTTGTTAAAACCTTTGAACATGGTTAAGAGAAGGCATACTGTAAGATTAAGCTTAGAAAAAAAATTAGAATGTGCAACATAAGCATATTTTCAATTTCAGGGAACTAGTAATATTCCTTCATTGTGGATTTTCAGTTTAAAAAGTTTAAATCTAGACATTTTTTGGAAATATTTGTGCTAATACCAAATACACCTCTAGGTAGGAACTTTTGCGAAAACAGTGTTACACCTATGTGAAACTATTCCGGAAAGAATAATGTACATTTTTTCTTTATCTTGTTAAATAAAAATAAAATCAAAAGTTACAGAAAAAGGAGTAATGTTTGGTTTGTTTTTTTAGGTACCTCATATACCACTTTTAGTTTTTATTACAAAAAAAGAAATAAAGACAACACTATATATATTCAGCTGTTTCAGTTAAAAGAAGGTAAAACCAAAATTACTTATATGAATTGAATATGTAGTAATAATTAAAACTATTGCATGCAAAGTGTTTAAACTTGATGTAAAAATGTGTCATAAATGTATTTATGTATAATAAAGCAGTAGCTCCTTACTTTAACAAATTTGAAAGTGCTCAATCTCCAAGATTTCCCTTTATTTCTAACTCCAAGAAAGCCTGAGTCATGTGCTACAAGGAATCACATTAAAAAAGTACATTTTCTGTTAAATATGTAAATACAGCCTTTAAAATGTGTAACTTGTAAACTCATATACAGTAAATGCATTGCTCAAGAACTTTTGAAATTCTTTTACAGCTTTCTCTACATTAATCATCATCTCTAACAGCAAATTTCACATCACAGTAGAGCAACAACTGCACACTAATTTCTGAAAACAACACAATGATACCACTCCTCTATGTGTTTACATTGTAAAATTAAAAAATTGGATGTAGGTCAGATACAACTTGTCATAATAGGTTTAGCATGTGCCTTGGGTATTGTCTTGGTGCTGTTTAATCTTTTTATGGTGCTTTTTTATTATTTTTATGATTAGAGGCATAATCCAGGGCAATACGCTCCCTATCTTTTGACTTCCTGGAAAGATAGTTAAATGAACTGCTGGCTCTTACGAATCAGCTGTCAGACTATATAAGGGATGATGTTCCTTCCTGTTGGAGTCCAGTCAGGTTAAGGATGGGTTGCAGACGCACAGACTGCCTCTCTCGGCCTCTGTCAAACCTCTTTGAAAAACTCGGATCAACAGTTGGCTCCTATCCATTTTACTTTTTTGTTATTCCAATTTTGATCACAGCGTCACTTAGCGGGGGCTTTTTTTTCCTCAAAGATAGAGAAGATAATGATCTTGAACGCCAGTTTACCCCCAAAAAAGGACCCTCGAAGGCAACTAGGGCTTTTGTTAGGGAGAACTTTCCTTACAATGCTTCCATGTTTTCTGAGAAAAGATTGTATGACAGTGGGAACTTTGCATCTCTCATTGCTGTGTCAAAGAACAGCAACAATATTCTGGAAAGCCCTGCCTTGGAGGACATCATCAGACTCAATGAGAAGATTCAGAACATCACTGTGAACAGCAAGAGGCTGGGATTCAGTCAGGCCTGTGCCAAAGCCAATGAGAAGTGTGTCTCAAACGTCATCCTGGAAATCCTCAGCTACAATGAGACCAGCAGAAACAGCATCACCTACCCGGAGCATCGACACGGGTCCAGTTTGGTCTTCCTTGGCTCTGCGCTCGGTGGAGTTCTAACAGATGCAAACGGCAACATCCAGAGGGCTCAAGCTTTGAAGTTATTCTACTACTTAAACAACCAAGAATCTGCAGCCGAGACTTCCAAGTTGTGGCTAAGAGGATTTAAAGCGCTGCTGTCAGATGAGACAGACAGGAAACACATTGACGTATGTAATCCCTTTGTTTTATTCTTTGACAATAAATCCATCACACACACACAATGAGGATGTGAACTGAAATCTAACTGCCCTTCTGTAAGTTACTTAAAATGTTGAAGCAGATGCATTGGTTTAGTCATAAAACTAATTTTGCTTAATCGATAAATCTGAAACCTTTACAAATACGCATGCAAAATATGGTTTTCATATGAAAAATTATCAAGGGGGGAAAAAACAGTCTAAACTTACCTGCTGCTAAGTAAAAAAGTTATCCAATCCTCATCAGATCAGGTTATTAAGGAACCGTGACAAGCCACATTTTTCCAGACCTCTGGCCTAAATAAAAAAAATGCTACACCTGTCAAGAATTACAGGCTCAAAAAGCAATACCTTATCTAAAAAGTACCATAATCAGAGGAATTCAAGCATCTCTGCATCTGACAGAAGTTTAAAAAATATTTGAAAGCTATAATGCTAAAAACAATTATTAATAATTTGAGAAAAAGTGGGACATTGGCAAAGCATCCCAATATGGCGGCCAACCAAAACTACTGCAAAATATCAGCATTGGTACACAGTAATTACATGTAGTTTAATATTGCTGGTATTTATCTACTGTTGGTTGGGGTTAAAGGCAGTAGCAGATTTGAATTTTTTTCTTCTTTGGTCTCCTAGCTGTTCACTATTTTAATTTCTTTAGGCTCAAACTGGACAATATGCTTTGATGAGTAAAAATGAGACAACCTTCAGGAAGCCTGGCGAGCCACTGAAAGGGACTTCTTTTTTAATTGCTCAAAGGAAACCTGCAGCTAATTCCTTGTTAGAGAAAATCTACAGTCCATCCCATGTTCTCATTCTGCTCCAGATTAAATTGTAAGACTCATGAAAAACATGATTTTTTTCTGCTGTGCTGCTTTGCAGGTCTCTTACTACACCTCTAAATCCAAGCAGGAGGAGATCGACAGCCACACCATAGATGGATTCCCTTTGTTCCTCATCACTTATGCCTGTGCTATAAGCTTCTCTGTGATTTCCTGCCTAAGGTAAGAAGTCATCAGCGAATGTCACACAGAGCGCTTGACATCAATTCATGTAGAGGATACAGAGAGATATTATTCATCCGTTTGAGCGATTTCAAAATGACAGACCACACAGAAAACATTAAATAATTTTGAAACAAAATTAATACAGAAATAAAAGTTGTAGCTGCACCAAGGATTGTGCTTTCAGAAACTTAATATACATTTCTTACACCGAATTAATGTAGTTTCAAATTATATGCATTGGTTAGAAAATTTATTTCTCTGTGGAAATAAAAGAAGAAAAAAAAAAAGAAAACAAATTTAACTAAAATTCCTCCGCTCAAATGCGGCAACAGAAGTTTGACCTGTTTTGAAATGTAAATTTGTCAATCTGAGTTTTTTTACTCTGTGGATAAAGGGTGTATGTCTATGATATAAAAAAATAGCTTTATTATTTGCTTCATTTGAGATGTGTTTAATATTTTTTAACCTGTTATTTTCGATGTTTTGTAATGTGCATGAGAAGTCAAAATGTCTCAAGCATTTGAGTCAAAATGTCTCAAGCTCTTTACAATCTTTCTCAACTTGAAAAAGTCAAATCTCTGGCTTAATGAGTCATGTGACCTACACCGCCGCTTTAAATCAGTCTGAGCTCCATTTAAACATGAGAGCTAAAAAAGCAAAACGTTGTTGTTTGGCATCAAAACCGATATGACAATTAGCTGATCACCTATTTTATTTTCTTATTTT